TATAATAAAATATATAAAATATATATATAATTGATATAAAATTGATATAATAAAATATAAAAGTCAATATCTTAAGATTGATATAAGATTAAAAAGTTTTATCTGTATGGAAAAAGTAGAATAATTATTATTTATACTTCAATTTTAGTCCTTTCAATTAAATAAAGGTACCACCATAAAAAAAAAAGATATCCTTGTTTTTAATACAATTTATACAATTTCAGCTTTCGGATCCAACTGTTGGTGTGGATTTTTTTGCACGCTTAATAGAAGTCAAAGATGGTACAAGGATAAAGTTACAATTATGGGATACAGCTGGTCAAGAGAGATTTAGGTATCTATATCAGCACATATATTTAAAAATGTATTTTTTACAAAAATTTTTAATTATTCGCTGAGTGTTCTTGTATTATTGATTTTCCTTTGCTGATTCTTAGGAGATAAGCTCTATTATAGAGTTTTCTTTTTTGTTTATAGGTCAATTACAAAATCTTACTACAGAAACTCTGTAGGAGCGCTCCTTGTGTATGACGTTTGTAATAGAGCAAGTTTTGAGCATATTCCCCAATGGATGATGGAGGCTCGCAGACATATCGAGCCTCATCGCCCAGTTTTTGCTCTAGTAGGCTGTAAACTGGATTTAGTAACTAATGGTGGTAGACGAGAAGTATCCAAGGAAGAAGCTAGAGCGTTTGCTGACGAGCACGGTGTACATCATATTGAGACCAGTGCTAAAACTGGTGTAAATGTTGAAGAAGCTTTTCGAACGGTTACGCAAGAAGTTTACAATAGGATACAAACCGGTGAATACAAGGTAGAGGATGGTTGGGATGGCATTAAAACTGGATTTGCTAGGCCTGGTGGGTTAGATTTTAATCTAGTCGAGGCGGAGCCCGCGAAGAGCTCATGTTGTTAGGTCTATTTTGATTTAGTTTTAGAATGTCAAAAAAATTTAAGAATGCAGATGGAATAGTTATTTCGGTAGAATATATTAAATATATAATTTAATTAATTAATGCGCATATATAAGCATATTGTAATATATAATTGTACTCGCTTATGTATTACATGTTATTTGGACTATAAAGTTATTTATTACTTTAATATAGATTGTTGTATATTGTATACGCAATCTTTTTTTATTTGTATGACAAATAACTTCCTACTGCATTCTTTTATAGCAAAGACTAACAATTTATTGAAAATTATGGTTGCATCTGGACTAGATTTTTGTATATAGCTTGTCAGAAGACTAATAAAATTCATATAATTTCGTAGAGTGGTAATTATATGTTTATAGAGAGAGAATTAACAGACTTATTTTCTCAAAATATAAGTATCTTAAAAAAACATTCTCTACAGATCTATGAATTGAAAAAGAGTTGTATGCATTTCATCTCTGAATATATCTTACCCCTTGTTTGCAAATATTGTGCCAAGTTTATATCCTAGTTAAGTATCTTAAAGTAATAGTAATTGGAGTTCCTTTTCTCCTCTTTGAAAGTATTTGGTCTAAAAAAATATACGTTATTACAAGAATATGAAACATCGACAAATTTAGAATCACGCAAACAACAAATTTTAACAAAGTCTAAAATTAATGTATAAATTACATCATCACCTATATAAGCAAGTCCATGTTTTGTTAGTGACATATACAGAAGTATTCGTGAATTACAAGTAATTTCCAATTTGCCAAAACAATCATATCTAATATTACCTTATGGGCACATTGAATTTCGACATTTACAGAATTCTCGTCAACTATGTCTACTCTGTAAATACTATGAACTTTGTTAGTCATCTGATATTAATAATATAATATCGCAACATATATATAAGCGTTAAATTAGGATTGTTTGTAACTAAATTAGGATTGTTTTTAAATATTCAAAAACGAGATATGCAACACTGTATGAAACATTTTAAATCCATAAGACACACTCACAATCGGGATTTATTTCGTCCAACTAATCTCAATAATATTGTCAATAAAAAATGACGGCTGTGCAGCTCTGTTGAATTTATTTTTTCTGTGAGATAATAAAAATTTATTTCTACATGACAAGTATAAAATTTATTTATAATACAAAGCATTCTTTTATGTAATTGGTATAATTGTTAGAAGATACAACTATTAGAAGATAAAACATGTACAAAATAATAAGAAACACATTTTCTATCACTTCTTCTCAGTTTGATAAACTGTTATTATCAGGACTTATGAAAATATTGATTACATTTGTAATATACGTAACTTATGTTGCTTTATTGATGTAGTGTAATATTGTTAGTATGTAAAATTTCACTTGCTCTTCATGTATTGTATAAACAATTTAAATATAACCAAAGTAAAGAACATACAATATACACATGTGTGTATGTGTATATAATATAAATTATATATTTTAGATTTTTTAGAACACACGCGAGATGGGATTTTTTATAAATGATATGCTATTTTGAATATATTTTATTTTATCTGGAATAATTTTATACTCTATAA